TATACACCTTGCTAGAAGTGGCTAGAACACCAGATACCTTAAGTGATACAGTTCCATGCACATAGGTACCTTGCTAGAAGTGGCTAGATTACTCGATACTTTAATTCAGGCAATTGCATACACATAAGCACCTTGCTAGAAGTGGCTAACACCTCCAGTAAAACAATATTAGTAACACCCATTTATTACACTAATTGAGTACTTAAACCATAATTTAATATATATTTACTCATAAAATACCTTTGAAATATATCAATACTTCGATAGCAATCCACACTACACACGCTACCATTACAAAGTAGTGGATTGTTACAGTAGTGTACAATTTGTATATTGTCTTTGACTACAGTATATTGGATTGACTCATGAAATCAATAATACTTTGATATATTTGCAGATTTAAGATGGGTTCCACTAAAGTATTGAAGACAATTTTAGATGAAACTTCAACTTTGAAATACTTCATTGAGTACGATGGTTTCTTCTCGAACCACATGTCACATGGATTGATTGCTCTTTCCAAATTGGGAGCTTCAGAAACAAGACTTAGGCGTTTCATAAAAGTTTATGAGGCCAAACTGGAGTCGACCACAGGACCGACCAATATCTTAGCAGATGACTCGTTCGAAGAACTCAAAGGAGAGAGAAAATCTTATTATTCTATATTGAAGCATTTCGAGGATCTTGCAAAAGGGCGGACAATAACCGAACTTTTGAATTCTGAATTTCCAAAGGTTGCGAAAGGTATGGTTTGTTCAGCGATCCATGGCCTGATTCATACCGGTTACGCCGTAGCTGTCCAAAATACAAAATTAACTTGTGAAGGGCTAGCATATCTGCATCATTCGTTTGTACCCCTGATTGCTGCTGACTCTAGAATAAGAACACTGAGAAGAGACGCACCTACATACGACATATTAGAGGCTATAGGGATTGTTGCTAAAGACGACACCTTGTTTGAGCTCATGAAGACGGAAGTTGCAAAACCAAAGTATACAGACAAAGTCACGAGCAACTTTCAACGCAGAGTGGCTGCGCTGTTTACAGTCGCTGCAGACACTTTACTCGACTACATTGATAAGATAACACTCCCACCGACATTCAATCCCAACATCCAAACCACGCAGGAGGCAGTCGGGTTAGGGAGATGGCTCCTGGATTGCGCCATAACAGTGTACGTAAAGAGCGAAAACAAAAATGACTTCTTCTTGCTCCATGGAGTCACTGGAGCATGGAGCTTGCTGCAAATCCTACCAGCCCTGACTTACAATGACGCCATCTATTCCATCAGGGTTTTCATGTGTGCTTTTGTGGCGACATATCTAGCACAAATGAGAGCACCATTGACTGTTGATGTCAATACAACACTAAAACCAACAGCTGATGATTGGGACAAGCTTATCGAGGCCACGGTCGATGAGGAGCGAGATGAACATATTTACAAGCTTGTACAGGTGTGTCATGGCCTAGCCTTGGAAGATGATGTCAAGCACACACAACAAAGCATGTACTTCCAAGCTGCTAACATAGCAATAAGTAATGCACTGTTATTTGTCAAATATGATTGAAACATGGGGTTTGACATAAAATGAGTTTTCCGGTATATTGGATAGGATACGTGTGAGTGATATTCGAGCTTATAGCAGGTTATACATTATGATAAACCATGACATCTCATTTCTTCTCAGTCCTGAGATGTTTCAGGTTAAACAGAAAGATGCTATGAGTATCAGAATTAATATATGGGAAACCAACATACAGGGTGTCCTGAAAGTAAAGATACTAATGCTCTAATTTCAATAGATTTACCTGATGTGAGATGAAATTGCTGCAACTGTCATGACAAATTGTTTCAAAAAAAAGTTCTGTTCATATCATCTGGACACTCCATTGTCTGTTGTTATTATACATCAAATTATGTACCACAACAGCAAAAGGATAAGTACTGTAACATTATTTTTTCATTTGACACTACTACAGTTATCCAATATTATGTATTTCCCACCATTATTTAAATATTCTTTGTGCATTTTGACCGGAGATTCAAAGACAAACTCACTGCTGTCAATCTCTAAGATTGCTGATAACATTGGCTTCCAGCCGAGTCTCATTTTTATGTTGAACTTCTAACAAATATTGCTTTAAAATATTCATTAATGTAGAAGTCGAACGGGACATTATTAGGGAAATATGCGCCATTGTACAAAAGGGTTAATGTCAACACATTCAATTTTAAGATTTGTTTCCTTTGCTTTGTAAATTGGTGCATTGGCTGAGGAGGTGCACTGTTGACTTCCAGGGACCCTTTTTCTAAGCACTTATATACCTTTTCTTTGATTATACTGGTGACATTACATAGTTCTGATATGTATCAATGATATCATTATACTAGAGAATAGCAATTTCATTACAAAAAACTAAATCTATTAAAATTAGAGTATTTGTATCTTTACTTTCCAGACACCCTGAATATAACTGTGCTATTTACAAACTATCTTTATTCACAAATACATTACCTCACAAGTAGAATTGCACCCATGACGGTAATCATTTGTGTAAAAGTTGTGTATTACAGGCCAATGTATAGAGCACACAGTAAAATCTAATTGTATATACACGATGTATCACATAATGAAATATGATGGTATGTAAGTCTGATTGTAGATATCGTAATACTCGTATATTACAGAAGTAATTACTACATTCAATTTGATTGTATACACGCCATATGTTACATACAATAAAGGTTAATTGTACACAAGTGGTACATTACATGCACAATAAACCTAAAAAAATGATTGCATATATTCTATATTTATGCACAGGACACAAAGCCTAATAATACAAACACAATGAATATCAATTCTACAAGAAATATATTTCATAGACACAATAACTTGTAATTTTTCCAGTGTGCAATGTATCAGTTTGATATTAACAGTTTTTGACAATTTTCTATAATATCTGATGCTAAAAGATAATGATGAAAAATGTATAGATAGGGTGTCGATGTAAAGATGGCGTTGTAGTCTGTCAAAAATAGCTAGAACGAGCACACTGCCATCTTTCTATTGACACTAATGACTATTGTAGTAGATGATGTGAGTTCATTCTTTTGTAATTCTTTCAAAATCATGCAGTTTTTCACCATTCTGAGGACTTTTTGCATGATTTTTTAACCAAAACTGTTAAAAAGCTTCCCCTTAGCAAAGCCCCCCCCCTGGTAAAAGATGGCTACGGGCAAGACAAGCACTACATGCGACAAAGTACACCATTGAAAATACCGTGCCATCTAACCACACCATGGACCTCTATCCCCCAGGTGGCCCAGATGATTTTTGTTGATTTGACTTGAGGTTCTCCCCGATCGCAGGAAGCTTCAAATGCGAGGTTTCAAGGTATCACCCTATTATAATATAATAAAATGTTTTCTACATAGATATAGATGGCAGTAATTAATATCTGAACGACAACAAGAACGTGCTGCCCTCTATAATTTAATATTACACTAACACGATCACATCACACCAAGTTTGGTTCATTTAACAAAAAGTATTAAGAAAATAAAACAAAACTCAAAAATAGATAAAAATTAAAGTAAACCTCTTATTTCATTACCAAGATACTTGTTTTTTAGATGAACCAAACTTTCCTTTGTGCAATTACAATATTGAGAGACCTAAACAGGTTGTTTATATGTCATTTTGTTCCAATGAGGTTCGGATAGATGTTTCATTTCATTCCGAACATATGATACCAAGAACAAAGGAAATATCTGATGTGTTTTCTAAAACTATCAGGCCCGTAGCCAGTACCCCCCCCCCCCCCCCCCCCCCCTTGGCCTAAAAATCTTTCAAATGCAGTTTTTCACCATTCTGCGAACCTTTTTAAGTGATTTTGGCCATTTTTGGACCAAAATTGCCACAAGTGAACCCCCCTGAAATTTTTCAAAAATTGAACCCCCGCCCCTTGGCAAATCCTGGCTACGGGACTGTATATATAAAAGAATGTATCTATACTTTTTCAAATTAAAGGGTTACCATTCAAAAGATGATCAATAAATGTGTAGATTTTTTAGAAATTTTTGATGACTGGTTTAAACATGTGTTCAATTCAATTCACCATATCGATACCAATTCTTTTCGAAATGAACGTAAATTCTCATCGGTGTGACAAATTATCTCCGTAAAATCATGTTTTTTGCGTCGAAACTTTAACAGATTATGTTTTGTTATTTCAAAGGTGAATAATAAATTGGATAAGAAACGGCAAGTCTGGGATGAAATGTTTTTTGAATGTTTTTTGATGGTACATTGGAACAGATGACATTGGAAGCTTATGAGACACGGGCACCCTTGCATTGAGACATTGTGTAATTTATGTACATGTACCTCCCATACACTACTTACACAGTACACACCCTAATCGGCAATGGGGGCAATGGCCTGATGCAAGGCAACGGCAATTGGTACTCATTAACATATGGCATCATGAGCCAATGCGGATGGTTTAGACGTTATTTTTATTGTCCATCGAGTTAATGGTGAAGACTCCATCTTGATCCATCAAGGTATTACATACGTTACGAATGACTAGTAAAGGAATACACTGGTTTAATAGTATGGGCGACTCTTCAAGAAAACGTTACCCATGACTATCTTATATTAAATTATCAAATTGACTCTGCATTCTAGGACAATTATATAAGTAGATATATTTTGCTTGTATATTCATAGATAGGGTCTGTTCTATTTCATCTGACGAAGGATTTGGAACATGTTTAACTTGACAATGACGTCAGTATGTAATGGTATGGAAAAGGCATGTGGTGTTCTCACGTCATCATTTCTGTGAGAGCATCGTGCTCCCTCCCACATCTTCAAACCACGCAAACTGCAGATTGTGAACTATATAAATCCAGACGAAAAGCACACTGGGGATCAAAGGCTTGTATGTCTTACTGTTGTTGAAATCTCTCTTTAAAAGCGAACTCAGTAAATTGGTGGATAGAATGCAGTTTTTTTAAATAAAGCTTCATAAACAACCCCAACTTCTCCGCTAAAACAAACAAAGCAAAAAATCAATTTTCAATAAAACCTTCTCGATTTATTTCAGTTTTACTTCATTTACATTTGATGAAATGACACTTCGATATGTCATGTATCTTACATCAACATTTTCATCTTTACAAAATGAACACAAATTCGTTGCAATATAGATATATGGTTTGCTTTTAAATGGATACATTTCGAATTCATGAATACAATTAAATAAATTATGTTATGACACACACATACAGCACGTTTGTGCAGTTGTCTTGGTGTTACTTGATTAAACAAAATTCTATACATTAGGTCAATTTTTTTTCATTTAAATCGTTGGAAAACTCACTGAGAATTTTTTGGCAACACAAATGTAGAATTTACCGCTTTTGCCCTGTATCAAATGTTGTGATATGTAACATCATGAAAATACTGATACGAATTTCTATTACAAATTACCCTGTTTTTATTTATGATACATTTGAAATGTTGCACTTAGAGAAAGTTATTACTAGCCGCAATTCACTTCTTATTCATTCTAAGTTTTTCATGGTATGACTAGAACTGGAAATCTTTATTATCAATGCATGATTTACTAAAATGAGAATCAAATTGATCATAATTCTACCACATTCACTAAAAACAGAAGATGGGCCATGTCTTTTGCTAGTAAGTAATCTTCAGATTCGTGCACTTTCACTATTATGCCTCAGATTGTCCACGCGACTTGCGATTTCAATAAATTAATTATTAGTACAGTAAACTTTCACTCCCGCGTTCAGACATGTCCTCTTATTCACTAACTAATATACACAATATAATACATTTGTTCACAAATAATAAGCAATGTACAGCGTTTATTCACAATTGACGTTGTCCCAAGTGTAGGGACCCGGACGTCATCTCTACGTTATGAGCGTGCGTAGTGACGTTTGTTGTCATGGTAACTGTCTGTCTGCGACCGTTGCTATGGAGACCAGTCCTGTGTGAGATATTTGGGCTGCCCCGCCTGGCAGTGACTAGCTTGTAGCGACATCTGGTGATCGCGCCCCAGTCGCCTTAACTATACATGGAATGAAGTGAGCAATGAAATGATTGCAATACTATATATAGTTTAGAGCACCTGAAACTTCGGCCAGGAGCCGTTGTCTTTATAGTCCATACAGTCTGGTGTGTTCCTAGAAAGTGACTGGGCACTGGGAAGGGAGCCGTATGGTGCCTGACTGGTGTGTACTGACGACATGGGCGGTGTAAGCTGTTGAGAGGTCATCACGGGAAGCTGCATTGGGGACATGTAGTCCATACTGCCCGGGTAGCTATACCCGCCATAGTTCTGAGAGGGGTAACCTCCGTGCTGGGGTTGATTGGTCATTGGGTAAGCCGCTGGCCGTTGCATACAGCTATTTGATCCCATAAGATCGCCAACTGGTGGAATAGATGCTGGGCTCCAGATAGGCCCAGATCCTGGGTTCATTGGTGCGCTACTGACGGCTGTTGCGGGCTTGTATGGTAGAGATGAAGGAGATGATGATGGTGGGGGTGGAGACTTAGATTTCTTAGGTGTAGTTGGGGCCTTTGGCTTGCCGTCAACGGTCTTTGCTTGCTGCCTACATTTCGCTCGTCTGTTCTTAAACCACACCTGTAAGAAGGGAATAACATGTTTTATCTAGTTTATGCACTATGGTGTAATGGTCAATCTAGAATTGTTAAGTTGACAATGGTTTATCAAAACAAGTAACACATGCGTCAATACAGCGTAAGAAAGAGCGATCCGGTGTTCACTTATCAAATGCTCCAAATGATAAGATATCACGGCAATATGACAAAGTACAACGAACAATATTTTGTAAGAAACTGAACATTCAAATATTTGACCATATAGCAAACGCAATTGGAGTTTCGAAAACAATTAGAGAAACCACTGGCACTCGATTTGACCATAAACTGACCATAGCAACCAAAACTCGTTAAACAGTAGTTGTTTTGTTTGGTATGTTACTGCCAGGTGTCAGAGGGGGTATTGAGGATGGGTTATCAAGTATTGGTCTACCAAAATAAACGGAGCACTTCCAAAGTCCCCCATATTCTAACACTGAGAGGGGTTATCACACTGGCCCTACACCATTTGAGATTACACTGTTGATTTACTACATAATTTTATCTTGACACATTTTGATGGACAGATCGACGAAATATTTGAATACACATAAGATATTCACCCCACACATTACCAGCAATAATACTTGCTCCTGAAATTCATTTTCTAATTTGTCCGTGAGATTTGAGCACTGTTCAAACTGTTTTGCGCTGTCTTCTTCGAGACGTCAATCAATTAGTTAAATACGAGGGATGTTCAAACTAACCTGTACTCTTGATTCAGGAAGGTTAATCTTCAGTGCTACTTCTTCTCTCATAAAGATATCTGGATAACGTGTTTTCTGGAATAGGGCCTCTAGAACATCTAGTTGGGCACGGGAGAAGGTAGTCCTCTCTCGTCGCTGTTTTCTGGGATTGCCTGTATAACCAGAAAACAAAAGGGGGCCATTAGAATAACCATAACAAATTTGCATACTATTTCGAAAAAGTATTTGAATCTTATTAATAATCGCTCCCAAAATGTAATTGTCTAATACGACTCAGACATAAAATTCAATTTAAAGTTCCACTCGAATGACATGTCAGTCACAGTTATAAATAATGTCACATTGATGTTTGAGTCATCAAAACAAGTTAGAGGTATGTTTTTAAGAATGGCAAGTACGATGGTTCACCAATGGCACAACCCACAATGTAGTACTCTCATTTGATCAAATATATGTCTTGTATCTATGACATGCTATTCATCATTTAGAGTCCATTTCTAAGTTGGTTGGTAACGACAAGGAAATGCGGCTAAACTTGCACCGAATGACCTTGGTTTTGAGGGTTCGGGTCGAACTTTTATATAAATAAAACACATTAATTATAAAGACATACGGTCTATTTTTGATTTGCTACTCACGTTTGATGAATTACTTTTTTGGTATCTGATAGATAGAAAGAGATAAATGGCCAATTCTTTGTTATCGAATACCAATAGATAAGACCAGAAACAACCGCTGAAGAAATTCATTTGTATCTTAGATTGATGACTTGACTGATCGTTGATCTGATGTGGTTAATTTGGAGAAAATAATATAGTTTCATATCTCGCAAAGAACTTTTACTAAATGGTTGATTAAAAATCAGGCGAGAGGGCTGTAATTTAGATTGGAGCTGACACGCCTTGTCATTTAGCGTAAGTCCTTTGGGAGCGAGAATCCCCGAGGGCCGCTCCATAAATAGCTTTTAATCCAGTAGTTTGAAACAAAATATCTCCATTAGAATTTGATTATAGCTTGACTTAAGTTTCACGGTTCAATTACCGCTCATCATATTATATTTAAAAAACTGTTGAAGGAATTGTAATTTGGAATTATTAAAGCGATAGTATGGCCATTGCTTTAAATAAAAAACTATTTCTCAGACTATTCGTGAAGATATTTTAATGGGTTATTTGAGAAAATAAGGCACAAAAACTGTTTGAAGTGCATTTCTGTAATCTTGTTAGATATGATGGGTCGTGTAAATTTAATGCGATGATGAATTCTAAACACATTGAAGTATGAAAGTATATCTCATGTTGCGTTATCCGTTATGTGACCATATTCTAATTATATTGTAATCCAGTAAATCACCTTGTTTCAGGAAATGAAGAGGAATGCTGTAATGCGATAGCGAGGCTGCACAAAGCCACGACTTATACTACTTGTCATCGAGTCACTGCTCAATGGTGACAAAAGACGCAGGTAACGTGACATTGAGGTCGTGAAACCATTTAACAAGTTAGAATTTTCTTCTTTCTTCTTGAGCATGAGTTGATGCCCAAAAAACTGCTCAATTTTACTTGACATTTTTTGTTTCCAAGATTCAATTTTTTAAGTATGTGAGTTTGACATAATGAGCTTGCCATAAAAAGTGCACGTGATTTCAATCAATTGAGTATATTTTGTGGAGTTTTCCGAGATTGGTGAAGTTTGCATACGTTTCTTGAAATATTTGATATCTTCAGATGTCAACTGGGCATTTTATAATGCTTATTACAGCAATGTGTCGCGAGTGTGTCACTGTGCGCTGACATGTACCTGCACACTGGTCTGCTATGATGCTATAAAAATTACCAAAATTGGCTTAAAAGAGACCCGACCCCCTGCTATCATCCAATCTTTCATGGTATAAAGCTGGCTTATTATAAAACAATAGCCTAATTAATTCTACCTTTTAATGGCAACAAAAGCAACAACAATTGCAAACAATTAATTTAGAGCCAATTAAAGAAGTCTGCAATGGTTGGAAACATTTTCACCTCGGCAATCTGAATTCGAACATAATTTGGTCAGGTAAAAGAGCACGACTGTAAAACGACCAATTTTTCTTTACTCAAAATTCAATATGTTAAATTATGTAGAATTGATTTTGTTTATCCAAGTATTTTAACACTTAGAGTCAGAATATGTGAATAGGATTGAAGAATATATCAATTTTGAGTCAGTAGAAAGCGACATGGCAACTGCATGTAACATTGTAAAAGGTTTTCATATGTCAGCCATATTATTCATTTTATAACAGTTGCCCAGATGCATACCAATGTGTTAGCTTGTAAACACTGATTGAAAATGTTCAGGTGTCAGTTTTAATTTCCCTAGCCCACTAAAATTGTTATTCAAATGTCAAATTTGACGTATGTTATATAATTTTCCTAAAAGAATAATTAAATCCGCTAAAATAAAAGTGGGTGTAGCGAGTCATCAAGATGAACGATTGAAATCTAATCTATCTAACCATCGCACAATTTGTCATTTATAAATCATAATTTACTTGTTAATAGTAAAAGACGTTAATGACTACTCATTGTACTCGCATAACAGATGATTTGCTCTAAAACGGCATTTCAATTTGGTTGATTTGTGTCTAAATGAGCGACTAATGTTAAACGTGTTTTTGCTCAAGTTTACGTTGGGGGCAGAATCACGACATACGATGACCAAGATGTTAGAAATTTATTGGGGAAAACCACCTTGGTCACTCCAGCTGAGGAAGTTACTTACAAGTTTTCAACTACACAACACGCCAATTGATTTCAACCAATATTCAACACAGTTAATAATGGGTAAAACGCTAGATCAATTTCAACTTTCACTTCTTTGCCAAAAAATGTCGTATAGTACAGGTGACTTTCGATGACTTCACGTAGATGTCATGTCCTATCGTTAAAAAGCTTTTAGTCAAATCATTCGGTATTTCTGCTAATTTATTTCGTGGTTCGTTAAAGTGGTAGTATGTTATAATTGTATAAATTAACTGTCTGTGTTTGGGCATTTTAATCCCATTGATAACATTTATAAACAAAAACAAGGAGAAAGTTTGTGTCACAGTTTGCACGGATTAAGAATTCACACCTCTCGAAACATTGCAGGAAACAGGCCTCTACCCTAGATCTTAATACCCCAAATACATAAATAAAGGCATCCTCCACTTAAGCAAATTTCCTTGAGATTAAAAATAATTTTTCAAATATGACACATATGAAGTTATGTGTAAAAATTTGGCAAGTGAATTGTTTCCACAGTCAAAAATGATAGTTCGGTGATAATCATTTGGAAAGTAAAAGTTTTGAAGTGTAAATTTTGTATTTTTTGTTGACGTTTGTTCGCTGACATTAAACTTGACCCATTCAGTGTTACAAATTTAATTTTTTTATCTTATCTTTATTTATTTATTGTTTGTGTTGTTTCGAAGAGATTAATTTTAGCATATTGATAAGGAACTATAACTAAAACGTAAACGATTAGAAAGAAAACTTTAAAACATTGAAAATTAATTATGGTGAAGCTTTTAACATAATATCGCATTTTGATGAGATCGAACGTTACGCCAGTCTTGCAATTTTCTCGACTCTGAATGTATTGATAATTTTTAATCTTAAGTCATGAATCAAACCATATACCATCATATTCAATAGTTCTCAATAGTGCTATCTAATTGCACTTTTGGTAAGCCGACTTTGTAGGTCATTCGGTGCAAATAAAACATAAACAAACCGATGTTTTACATTTCCTATTGAAATTGGTGATGAGTATCGTTTCCCCATTTACAATGGCAATTTCAAATATCACAAATTGCCAAGAACGCTGAGTTTCAAACCGCATCAATAGAGACTAATTTGATATATAGCCATTTGAAAGTTATTTCTTATATAATGCTCTACCGCACATAATTTAATATAAAATATCATCTGAGAAGGAATTATCTTCAAGTTGTAAATTCTCCGATGTAAAATATCACTTACTGTATGTTCCTTGGTATCCCATTGCAGGATGAGACAACATGTCCATATTAGGGCTGGAAAGACTGATTCCATTGACGGAGTATGCCGATTTCCCGACCCCCATAGAATGTGGGGGTGGAGTGGGGTAGGCCATCGATCCCATTGACATTGGTGGTTGTTGAAGATTCTCGACGTGAAGGGAATCTGTAACAGGCATAATGATTCACTATAAACAACCTGAGTCTACACTTCTGTAGTATATTTTCTTCACTTATCCGATCTATGTTATAAAATAGATCTGAAGCTCAATGCCGAATTCCGTTGTAGATTGTACTTGGTAAAAATTCCAAATAAGTCCAATGTTTCTGAATATTGTCTTGTTCTGATTAGAGCTGGTACACCTGTGTCTTGAGTGACTCGCCAGTAAATAATTGGACGATTATGAACCACTGCCTCTATATACAGCCCAACGAGCACCTATACGACCACCTAGGGTTTTCCAAACACACATAACAATAGAACAACTTGCCACAAAAATATGCCCTACTTTTGATTAGTCGAGCTCTTGAGCCGCTTAACCAATCACAAACCGGCTTATAAAATGTCCCCAAAAGTACGGCCCTATTATGTAACCAATGACATTAATTTTTTGGATTGAAAAGTTAGTCAATTTACGCTTTCAATCCATGCAGTTTTCTATACAATTTAAATTTTAAATAACTTGAATAATAATCGCTTTTTATAAAATTTATCAATGAAGTGACACAGGTCAAGTTATTCCACGCACTAATCATCAAAGTGATCGATAATTTCTTGATATTTTACACGTTCTCTAAATTTTGAATATTATACGATAATTTCATCAAGATTATTTATGGATTGGTGACAAGTTTTATGAGCCATTTTATTGCCTCTATTGCCCCTCTATCATAATGATGCCATAAACTCTGCAAACATTAACACGCGTACATGCAGAGATGCTAACAACCTATCATTATAAACAAGATTCAACTGGTTATCACATTTTGATTTACAGAAAAGCTGAATTCAAGTTCATATGTATAGAGAGTCATGAAATCCTCTGTGTTTACAATTTGGTGTTTATTGTAGCGATGAGTTTTTAATGTCTATAAATGAATTAGGAGAAAATCCCCAACTCAGGGCGGGGATAAGGCGGGTCCATCGGGATTAGCCGGCGATCAAAAGAGGTTGAACAATTGTACTGATGTACTTAACTTCATGGAATTATTATTCATGACGATCTTCAATCAATGGGGCTAAATATATAAAAGCACACAAGTCCATCACTCATTATTCAAGCTCATACTTCTTAGCTTAAAAAATAATGAATAAGTGCATGATAAAATAATAACGATTTCCGACATAGCCATCAGAAAAAATGTCACCTCTTTCTCATGTCTAGAGACGTTGTCACGCTCGTAGGCAGGGGGGTCGGAACACAAGAGGGCCATACATTGTACATTAACGATTGTGAGATATACTGCGATTGTGCTATGTGCGCATGTGGTTTTGTTGTCAAGTATCACAGAGTATGTGGGAAATCTATACCCATGACACTCGGAAGTGTGGAGAACAAGTGTTAACCGATGTGTACTGTACACAACTCTACAATATTTACTATTTATTCTAGAAATGATGTGAACTATTGTTTAAATGTCCCCCGGCGTTAATTAATTAAATACACTAAATAACTAGGTCCGATCTATAGAAAGTAATTAACAATCGCCGATGTAAGAGAGCGCTATTTGGCATTGTCTTCTCATTGATTTCCAAGCTCTACAAACATGAAATCTGACGAAAATCAACCAAAAAGCGACCGACGACACAACGATACCAGCATGAAAAACACCGATATATTTGGTATTTGGTATGTAACCCAAGATCCCTCATTCATTCATTCTGTATATCACATAGAATACCTATTTACATTCTCTATCAGTGTTTATTTACGACCGTCCCAACAAAAGGATTGATAAACATGTATTATAAATATTCACTTTTGGTCGGCGATTTCTCTGTTAGAGTACTCATAGTTTGCGCGCTGTCAATATTCCAAACTCAATGGGTTTGACCTCTATAGTATTAAACAAGACAAGAATATCTTCAGGTTGGCATCAACAATCGCTTGTAGATTCTTTGCGTCTTCTCAAGTATTTACCTGTTTTTGTAATATTATTTTAATAAATAAATTGTATTATGAAACGAACATACTAGTAGTTGGAGTAATGCTTGGTACGGTATTTGTTCACCTGGTTTTCAAAGAAAGTATAATTTCAGTCATTGTTACCTTTTTTGATTTTTTAATTTTTTCACACATTTACTGAAAATAAATACAATTGATGAAAGACTCAGTTTGACCTGTCTTGATTAAAGTAATCCAGGTAGGTTGTTTATGATTATACAAAAGTAAACAACGAGTAAACAAAGCGTAAAATGAACACTGTGAAAGATAACAATCAATAACCATATCTAGTATATCTGTTTGGAAAATCGTCCTACAGAGTTAAGCCGATATCAAAAGCAACATTTTTACCCCATACACTGACATCTTAATCCATGTTAAAATATAGCAGCAAGAACCATGTAACTTTTTTAATCCGTTTCTTTCATCAAAGGCAACACACCACATGGGTAACTAATAACGATGCCAGGGCAAAGGAAATGACATTTTGTTGTTTTTTAGCATTAAGAAAGCGTTTGACACATTTCCTGACATGGACCTTGCTTATAACAACAATTCTATGTGCCATAATTTTAATACATCAATCATTATTATAATTTATTGAAAGTGACATATCATAATGTCACCTTCATTCACGTGTCATCTCTTTCATACTATTACTAACGAATACGTAACTCGGAGATGAAATGGTTTTACCCGGGAATGTATTACTTCAATAAATTTAAATCTGATTAAAATTATTCTCATTATTATATTGTCAATACTCACGGGAGCTTCATTTAAAGCAATCCAACTCAAAAGGCTTTCACATGTAGTCTGTTTATTGGGTCCAAACAAATACTAACAGATAAGATAAGCATGTGTATTTACCTGGTGACATTAGATTACGTAACAGATAAGGATGCGAATTGATTAGACAGGTATATAGGCACAGGTTGATATTCTACATTCATAAGATGTATATCTAAAATATGACCCAGATTTCATAATTCAATTATTATCATCCACAAAATCTTAAAATTCTTTCTCCCGACTTTTGTTTAGTTTGGCTCTTACCAACGAAATGCAATGATCATTAAACGAAGTGAATCGAAAGAAACTGGCAATGAAGGATGCGCCAAGGAACTTGATGAAAAACTGATTAATTGGAATTACACGCGAATTAACATTGTATTAGAGCGAATTATCTGATGTCTTTCAAATAATTTAACGGGGTTGTGAGATGGTAATTGCGACGGTGCGCACAAGGAACCGGGCATCAGCGAGACATTCATTTCTTTGAACGCAAATGAAGACCGTATGTCGCGGCAGTGATAACCCTTCCCATTAATTAAATTACCTGACTGAGGATTAAGCCTATCTATTAGGAATATTTGCACACAAATGGGTTATTAACAAGAAAAAATGACATTGGTTGAATTATTGTCCCCTCTATGTGCAATCTTGGATTATCTCCTAGCCACACACTCCTCATAAGACAATCAAGTAGGGAAATTCACTCAAAATTACTAGATCAGTTATAGGTTATCATATTGGCCATAATCTTCACTGGACAGCTACCATTCTGCATATAAGTACACTCTACTGATTCACTTTTGAGGAATTCATTTATAAGTTCCACGTTTTAATTTTATATGTTCAATTCAGAAAAATATTTTATCAGCAAATGTTTTCTTTATTGTATTTGAATCACTCATCGCCCAACTAAGAGGAAATAAATTAGCATATTGTTTGCTCATTGAAACTCAGAACATTTCTTTAAAATTAGACCTGAATCGACCATAAGAAACGCGGTTGATCAATTGACAGAATCAGAATGCGTTCTTTCCTAGTTATTGTTCTCACAATCGCAACTCTTTGAGCAGTGATGCTGATGATATTCACTGTCAGATCTGTAACTTGTTTCTTTCTAAAGGATACACTGCATAATGCACCAAGAATCGATAATTTATTATAAACCAGAAAAGCAAATACAAATATATTGGAAATATAAATTCTTATCATGGGCCAACAGACTGAAATAATTAATCCACTCCTATAGAGAGATAGATGCTGGTGTAAAGGAAATTTAAAGTATGACAGATTCACCTTGTGAGAAGAATGAAGATGGTTTTGAACTGGTGTGATTCAGAATGAATATTTTATAATATTACTGATGCAAATTTCAAGAGAGCTGCAGCATTTAGTTGTGTTGCACCTATCTTGATGTTAAAATCCAGGACAAAGCTGAACATTTATTTTTGTTTAGGTTTTCCTCGAGATTATAAAAGTTTAGAAAAAAGTCAAAATTTATGAAAAACTTGAATTCACACGATTGGCAATATTAACAAAACGCAAAACAATAATCCATCAAACTCAACAAATACAATAAAGTAGACAAGTTTTATTTTTCATACAGGTGAGTTTAATTCCTAGAACTACCTGAGATTCAGTCTGTAATTCCATAAACTATGAATGTCTATGATCGACTAATCTTACATCAATAGGAATATGATGCAAACAGCGTCATACCATCCACCGTGTGACTGTCACGTAGAGAGATACAATACAATTTCTAATCTAATAAATTAAAAGTTTGGTTAATTATATTTCCTGAAATGTTCTGCCCATTGGTTCAGTCACTTCCCTAGGAGATACTCTAGACAGAGACGTTGCATGGTAAAAGGAAAGTCTTGTTTCAAATCGGAACAATAGAACAGCGCAATGGGCAATATGACCTTCCAAAATTAACATGATCTTGCTAGTTCTCTGAGTAAATTCCAGGTGAAAATAATTTGTTCCGACGTCATGCTTTCCCCGAAGACTATACAATATATCATCTTTACTCCCCACGTGGTGGACGCCACATCAAAATTAATATAAAACAAAAGAGGTAGATTGTGCAAGATATCAGATATTAACCTCACGTGCGATTCGAAAAGTAAGAAATTTGATCATTATTACATAGTTTATCATGCGAATTCTACGATGAACTTCCCATTGCTGATTATCTTTGATTAATACATCTCCAGAGAGAACGAGAGAGAGAGAGAGAGCAAACTTTTACCCAGTGTGAACAACTATCCCCCCAGGTAAAATTTAGCGATGACAACCGTTTAATTTTCCATCATACGCCCAGTGGTTCCAAATAGCTCTCATAGACTTTGATACATTAGAGCACAGGCGGTTGATCAAGCTCCGAGAAACAGCACATTAAGATTAAAAAGGTGTAATATATGAAAGATGAGCCTTAAAATGAGCAATAAAAATACATAGAGGACCATGTAAAAATGAATTCTGATCTCGCTGACTGAGTGTACATCTTTTGTTTGTTATTTTTCGATTACTATCAGATTTTTATCGAAATAAGGATTAGATGTCTCGATTAAAGGATTTATATCTCACTTTTATTCATTAACTCAGATTCCTTTCTGATTCTATCGATCATTTGATGCTAACTTTGATACTGTCTTGCCGGCGATACATAGATGCATGTAAATTTGGTCAATATTCAATCAATACATCCCTGAAATATATCAAATACCGAATTAACTAACCATTATTTCACGTAAGAAGTGGCAATGCAGAAACTGAATATTAATTACTTGGTGGCATACCTGGAATTTACCTGTAAAATGACAGGTATGGAACGAATTGAGATTTTCATCAAACCAGGTGGAGTAACTGATAATATTCTATAGGTCTTTGTGAAAATAGCATCTTTGTGTCCGGTTTCATTATCCCGATATTCCCTGCATTATTTGAGAAATTAAATGCAATATTGACGGAAATCTTAGCGGTGTATATTTTCCTTGTCATTATTTCACTATTGCGCCAAGGGACATACTCAAACATTATTCAATTAATATAGTCAAATATTTACCAAATATTTGCTCTGTTTTCACAAGTTCGCATCTTGGTGCTAACAACTATTGCTAAAGTTGGAATAGAGAAAATAGAATTGATGTTGCGGATTATGACTTGATTCAAAGACAAAGAAATGCGAATTTAATTTCATTTTGGGCGACGCCCTTTGGCCAACATACGCCAGTGCGTGTGTCCATCCTCGGGCAAATGAACTGAATACAAAGTTACGTAACCGCACAATATAAGTTACATCCCAAACGCCCATCAGAAAACGTCACTCCTATTTTGTATTTAGTTTAAACTTCCAAATATGAAAATTCAAATTCAAATTTGGTAACATTATCAGAGAACGTAAGAATAGAGCGTTTAAGAATTAGCATAGACAAACCGTTCTCAAATAAACTTAATGGATGGAACAAGCACTTCAAGTCATGTAAACAATAAAGAAGAAATTTGACCTCCATCGAAACACAGAAATATTTTTCTGTACTGCGTATCTTCGGCCATTACTAAACCATACTTCTACATGACCATGTGTTAGATCTTACGAAACAATTACATGTGACAATGTTGTCACGCTATCATCGGAGAAGGAAATAAAATCATTTTTTCTTGTTTATTTGTTTATCCATTATGAACGAGTCAAAATTTACATTTTAGCTTGTTGACTGTGGATTCTGAAGTAGGATTCATGATATTAACTTAAATTCTGATTAGCATAATCGACTGAGTCTTAAAGTGAGAAAATATTGATTTATAGACAATATAAGAATATTATACAGAAACAACAATCTTCAATATATATACATAGAAAGAATAACTGTAATTCAATTCTGTTGTCTTTTTGTAACTGTATATGGTTGTAAAATGTGACAGAAGGCTGTTCAAAGGTGGTGATTTTTTCTTAATTATTAACAAATCATTTTATTATATGATTATAGGCCTTCAGATTTGATACATCATAATTACAATAACTAGAATATAGCGTAAAATCATCATGAGCTAATTTATCACGATGCAAAATTCTATATATTGTTCAGCAAGTACCATAGGCATTTCATAAAATCAAGAAGGCAAAATAGGAGCTTTACGAAGCATATGGTTGGGGCAATTTGTAAATATGTGCAAAACTTGGATTGAAAGAAAACGTGAAAAGCATGGGTAATTATGTCAGGAAAATTAGCGGTGTACATGAACGTTGAACAAGGCAAGCACGAAAGATACGGGGGAGGTCTATACTGAAGCAAAACCATGGTAGTTTGTAAGTGCGGAGTTTCCAACAATCGTTAACTAGAAATTCTAGCGTGAGATGTTTATTCACTTTAAATGACAGGTGTCTGCAAAAATTATACGTTTTAATTGCCTGAAAACGCCTCAATAATATAGCTTTAATTGCAGAAATAGAAGCTAGAAAACCTTCGAGGCCTGAATGAGCATTTTATTGACAACCCAGTCCATGTATCTCTCATTTCTTTTATCAATTCAATTTATGTTCTAAGAACTGAGAAGAGATCCCTATTCAATATTTAGGTCATACTTCTATAGAAGTCTAAAGAAATTTATCGCTCAATAATTTTATTTCAATGGCTTTGAATAAGACCAAAGCTTGCAACACATTGTGAATTGAAATGAACACCAGTAGCTGAAAAGTGCAATCGTGTTGTTTTGTATATTGAATTCATCAAAGTTATAATAGTTCTAAGTCATTCATATATCCCACAATCATAACATTAAAATTACTTGAAGCGTTCTATGCGTTGCGTTCTGTGTAATGCTTGGTGTCGTGTTGCGTAATCTCATTCAAGCAATTTACGAATTGTTAGTATCATCAAGCGTGTCCAGTTAGAAAATGATTAATGTTTACAAATTCGTTAACACATTCTGATTTGGATATACGAGATGTAAATATTAATCCTCTATGAGTTATGATTAAAATCATTCAATTATATTTAAATATTAATGATATATTTACCTTGACGTTCCCTTGACGGTCGTTTACGATAACCATAAAGGAACAAATCGGTTTCAACCATACTACGGCCCTAAAAAGGAGCGTGTAAAATAATGAAAAATACCCTTTATATAATTGGCTTACTAGCTGTGATCCTTTTTGACAATATACATCACAAGTCATAACATTATGCCGATCCTTATTGATAAATAATAACAGTTGATCGTGATTTAGATCTGGAGGTTCGGTCGGAATATATTTTTTCTTGTTTTTTACTGTATTTCTGACAGAATTGAGGTTGTCGCCGGCAACGTAGCACCACGGGATTTTTGTAAACAAACACAGTAAAATATTTGGAATTTTACCCCTAGTTAGTGCACATTGTTTTTCTAGTGATTCATTGAGAACGCTTAAGAAAAGTCACAAACAGTTTGACTGAGTCGACAATAGGTATATTGGAGCTATGGTAAACCAAACATCCTAAATTTAGAAAGGCTTGGTCATACTTCCGTACTTGTCGCCAGGAATAGAGTTTCAACCGTATTTATTCGATGTGGAAATACACATAGTGTAGGCTATGTAGCCATATAAGTAACGGCGTGGAAAATGCACACATGAACAGACGATCGTACTATTCAAAATTTAACTTATTATTGAAGCCCCAATGATGTCAAGATATACATATTGTGAATTTGACAACATATCTATTCACACATGCAATTTCCATGTTAGTTAAACCAATTAAAATTATTAAAAACAAACTAAATACTTACTCGGTAATCTTTATGTCGCAGAGCGGATTTCCTCCTGTTGTTATATTTTCTGTATTTACTGTTGTATTTTTTTGCGGCTACTTGAAGTTCTGCAAAACATATAATCTCGAGTTAGTCCAAGAATGACAAGTATACCAATAGTATAATAATTGAAAACGTGTACCAAATTGTGTATTTACATTGTATTTACACCAGTTGTACTTGCAAGAGTTTAACACTTAATGATAATATAAGCTGACTGAAAATCACCATTTAAGCTGCTAAGAGTCAGGCTTATGTCTTGTTAACCTGAATGACTTAAAGATTGATCACCTAACTCTACTATTGAGCGACTTATCCCCGAGTGAAGTCCACCTCTAAAGCTCTCAAACCAAAGCTCCCTCAATATCATTAGATTACATCCAATCAGATTCAGCTATTCCTCTGAACCGCATTACTCACGAGCAGGATCGTCTCACTCCGCTATCTACACGATTCCAAATTGATTAAATTCTTTCGCAAAAGTAACAAAAATGATTTATATGTTCTATTTGATCATGCCATAATGTAATCATGTTTATTAGGGGGATTTTTAGTTATGGGATATTGCGAAAATGTTTTGTTATGATTTTTGAGAAGCACGTGTGCGGAGTGATATATCCTCTGTCACTATAAATGATAATAGACGTTTAATAGCTAAGCCGTCCTGATATGAATTAAATTAAGAGATTTTAGCGTCCGAATGTAAACTTAGCACAGTAGAAATAACGGGACACGCTTTAAAGATCAGAATCCCTAATTCTAAGCCTACTTACAGCAGATCAGACCTTTTCAATTGACTTTACAACAAGTATATTTACAGATAACATAAATAAAGTAGTTTTATCCTCCCCCATCTCGTTATGAAGCACGCTTACTGTCTTATTCTCGACTATTGTGGTCTTAACAAACCATGACAACAAACAAAATAATCAGAATCATTCACTTGATTTCATTTCAATTTGAGAAACAGTTCTGCTAAGAACCAGTGGATTACCGAACGCGATTCCTCTCACTTTTTCTCAAGTGGACGGCCATTAGAATGGTGACATACAGGCTTAAATGACGCTGGGTAGATAGAGAAACCAATGGCTTGGATCAGTGAACGGGAGTACCTAAAGACCAAAAATCAGGAAAGCGAAGAGCAGCCCCGGCCCTGAGATGTTTCACAAAAGTACACAGCTGTTATTGCACGTGAAAAATCAACTAAAAATAACACAACACTCCCTTTGAGCTGGAGACCTTTTTATTGAAGTTGTAATAGAGCATTGATTGGGCTCAGAATTATTTAAAATCTGACTGAGGAAGTGAACCTCGATTCTTTGTCAAACGCGACTTTAGCAAACACACTAAATAAAAACGCTCAAAGGAGAGAGATAGTTGTATGCAAACTTTAGAACTAAAAGAAATTGTAAAACTACAAAATGCAGGTAGACTATTTCTTACTTGTTTGTATAGCTAAAAAAAGTTCATAAGATCATAAAAAGTCAATACAATTGAAAACATATAGTCTAGTCGAAAGCCGTGATGGTAATAAAGAAACGAAAAAGAATCCTCGGGATGATAGGAACGCTCTGAACACCATGCAATGATTAAAGTGGAGTTCCGCATGGTTCCCACAAAAGCTACGACTGTGCTCTCATATTCATGTCATAGCAAAATGATGGTAGGCGCAGCTATGCCCTTTTATACGATGCGGTAGGATCTGCTGTTTTTATGAGACGGCACCTCTGTTGGAGCAACTCCTATCCCAGCATGACCTGATTTGTACTCATCACTCCAAACAAATTGTAATTGTTTCTACTGCAATACCACGTGCCTCGTCAAAAGACAAGACTAAACTGTCGTTCCTCGGTGAAAAATCGCTAATATATGTATTTTGACACTTTTTGTGTGTGTGATGGAGAATTACATGGCATGTCCTGGGGGAATGAGATTTAGAACATATCGGGAAATCTTTGATAAATGGCGGAGTCTTGTTGGACACCATGATTTAAGCCCTTGCTAATGAAATGCTGAGATTTCCTTTTGATCAAACATAATCGGTTATGAAATTAATAATAAATGCGACTGAATGCGTCTACACGCTAAAGAAATACATATATTAGCAGACAAAATAAAAGAGCCAGTTATGGAATTTGCTGTAATCAAGACTTGCACTTATAATGCGAACAGAATGTGTTAAATGTTTAACCTGATGCAATGATAATTTTATGTTGATGATTCGAACAGTATAGGCGACATTTCTTGAATTTGCATCTCATATAGAAAAAGTACAGTATCTGAGACTTTAGTTAAGTAATTCGCATAATAATTATAATTCTTAGAAAATAATTCTGATTAATTTTAATCATACTTTCAATTATGATTTCTATCATAAATGATATCAACATTGTATTAAATGTTATGTACGGCATGAAGTTGATAGTACATGACACGTGACGTCAAGGTAATGGTATTTCGGGCATGCGATAGAGCGTGTAGTTTCAATGGCGACCGATTAATTACTTTATTGCTCGACTAATTAATGCAGTAATAAGGTAGGATAACACAATCAATAGGGATGAGAGATGGCAGGAAATCGAAACAACTTCTAAATCAATCTTCACTTTTTCTTTATCTCACGAATACATCAATTTACTTTATAAAAGGGCAATACGTCTCCCTTGTACGCATCTACATCTACGATTTCGAATGTGAAAAAAGCATGAAGTTCACATCCGTACAGCAAAAATACGAACAATTTGCACATATTTTTCCTGTGTTGGGAGTCTTGTGACGGGTCACTTTTGAAGTTAGATACCTCTAAATGGCGAACGTCATTAGACTCTCAGACCATGATATTGCTGGCTTTCTTTTAATGTTTGATACCGAGGCTCAAGTTTCATTGAGCCCGTACTGTGTACCAGAAACGCCCCAACTTTTCGTCCCGATTTACTATCACTCGTGAACACAAGGCGGCATGTTTATTCAGAACCTCACGTTTTAATAGAATTGGGGTAAAATAAAATGAAATGAAATCGGTATTGGAGAACCTATTGTTTCAATTGTAAGAGAAAATAAACAAGCGGAGATGGTGGTAATGATTGTGCATTAATTAGCGCCGATGAATTTCTGATTGTGCTATTATGGCCGGCATGACGATCTATTGACGTTCCTTGCACATGGACAACACCATCTTCTGTCGCTACTTCAGTTCAGATTGAGAATATACAGGCTGAAATTGATTCCGAATTTGAAATTGATTTGGAGTATCTGGGCTGTCAAAATATCACGGTTAATTTCAATTTTTAATTGTTTTTCTTATCGTAACTTCCCAAACACCTCATTGACGTACAGAATTGATTGTCATTGATGGTTTTCATGTTTATATGTTTTTTACTCGAAAGGTGTAGATATGACTGAAGTTCTATCATATTGTATGAATGCAAGTGTAGGCTACCATGCACGCAATCAAATAACGAATCATGGGTATAAAATAAACATCATATTGATAATAATGTTGCCCTTTGCGGTTTCTCGACCGGTAATAGTTGTGTTTAAAAAACAATTATCTATTTATTTGCACTGTTGGATTGAACCGGCAACGAGGAAACGATCTTGAAATTATATTTGCTTCTAAGAGTAGCGCCTCATCCACCCAACATCCTTTAGCTGACGAAGAACATGACGTTAATTAGTTCTATGCAAATGAAAGAACATCGTTCGACCGGCTATCAGGCTCTTATCAAATAAAACACAAGCGCATCTATCAAACTGTGGTCAATTGGATTGTCAACGTCTTGTCGCCGCTTTCACTTTTAAAGTGTATCTCGGAATAAAACATTGGCCATGGCTCTTGAGTTATTGTGTCAAAAATATAAAGCAATTTTAATTTAATATAAATTGGTGCAATTTGAAAAAATGGGTGTTTTTAGAAGGAGAGACATAAAGCATTACAAAATAGAGTATGCAACTGATAAACATAAGGAAAACAAAACCCATTCCGAGCTACAACTTGCCGCTTAATATATGTACACAATGTCGATTGAATGATTTGGTCAACCATTTTGAAATTATTTATTTTAGAGAGCACAGTTATGGCCAGTTCAATATCTATAAAAATATTTGTAAATGATTGGATGCATTTGTTGTCGTTGGCGCGTTTGTGTAAAGCAAAACACTGGAGTTTAATAAGTTATGGCTTTTTGAACAGTCGTGTTCTGTCAAAATTACCCTTTCCTTTCTTGGCTCATGATATGTGTTACCACCCAAGCGCGTAGCCAGCTCTTGCCAATGGGGGAGGGTTCGTTTAGTGTTGTTTTTTTTTATTCCAGAGCGGGGGCTTAAAATTAGACAATTCTGGCCGAAAATCGCTTGAAAAGAGCTCAAAGTTGTAAAAAATCCATTTTGCAGCGACCATCCTTCAGCTACACAAACTAAACAGAAATTGAAAATCACAAAGGGCAACTTTTGAATACAAATACGACAAATTAGTTAATTCATAAACTCATTAATGGTCATTACCAGATTACTTGTTTGTTATACGACAAATTAATTAAATTACATGCTTATTGTTGTATTAAAGTCCAAAATGGTCATTACCAGATTATTCGTTGGTTATCAGTGAACTCCAAGAAGAGCAGGATCACCTGTAAATACCTGTAAATTAACTCTATATTAGTTTTCCTATTTGGATAAGGATTATAAAAGAATGTATTGAAATGAAGTAGAGTAATAAAAACGACATCAATCATGATAATGTACGGCACAGGCATCTTGGAAAACTAATTTCAAGGAGTTGGTTTTATCTTGTCTCCGACAGACCTGCAGAAGTACACC